GAAAGAGTGGTAGAAGGCTTCACTAGAGCAATTAGCTGGAAGTATGAATAATTTGAAAAAGAAAATAGTAATGAGATGCAACATTCTTTATTGATCTCTGTTAGTATTGACAAAAGTAGTGTTTTAACAGATAATGACTTTAAAAATGCTTTTGGATAAATTATTGCTGTTTAATTAGCCATTTTGGGTGACAGATTTGCATCTATGTTTTTTCTTGCATTTGTTTAATATTTTTGTTTATTGTTCATATCTTTTTATTTCAGTGTCCTCCAGGAATGAAGCAGCAAGTTTTGGCTTTTTATACAAAACTTCTTGGAAGAATACGGCAGCCTCTGCTTCCCCACATAAATGTATATAGGCCAGTGCAGGTACTGCTCAGATTTTATATTTTATATTTTTGACTAGTTTCTCTTATTCAGCTGTAGCTAATGATATCCCTAATTCTTCCACTGTCAAGTGAGTTAAAGAAACTGCTCAAGTGCAATATCAGTTTTAAAGATTTGATGATTAGAGTCTGAATTGCCACTGCAATGCAAGGCATGCATCATAAAAAAGTCTTGTTCACAGGGGTATAAATCTAGAGCAAATGTTCAAGTCAATAATCATACATCATTGTAGTGTGTATGCAGAAAAAAGAATTCAGTCCAGCATGCCTAGATTAATCACCAACTTACTCCCTGTCTTAATTTTTCCCTTTTCTCTATGTGACAGAAATTAATTAGGCTATGTGGTGAAGTTCTGGCAACACCAACAGAAAATGAAGAAATTCAATTTCTCTGTATAGTGTGTGCAAAGCTGAAACAGGATCCGTACTTGGTCAACTTCTTCCTTGAAGTGAGTAAATCAAATCAGAATTTTCCAAGTGTATTTACTGTGTCACAGACAAAAATCTAATAGAGAACTGGAGGTATCACATTGTGCTTCATAGCTTAGTTTTCATTCACTCTTGATTTCTTTTTATGTGATGCTTTAAGTTTTTGTTGTTTAGTTTTTTTGCTTCCAGAGACTTGGAATATGTGATTAATTTTACTAGATTTTCCTTCAGGGCTCACAAATATATACCTGTCTGACGTCCTTATCCTTTGTAGTGAAAATGCCTTTAGAATAGGGATATGGGTTGTCATGCAGAGCACTGTGTGAGGGAGATCTTGGATTTCTTACGTTGTTTTGTCTTCAGCCCAATAAAGACTAAGGGACAGATTGCATCGGGCATTGAAACCTTCCAAGTTGCTAAGTGTTTTGCAGGATTGGGCCCTTATTTGGTACTGGCACATATGGTCTAGCTGCAGTGCCAGCTCACAATCTACAATATGACATTATTTTCTATTTGAAAGAAAGCCAAATATCTTTAGTCCCTCTTTGAACTTAACATGTGGCATTGATGAAATCAGAGTGGGAGGAGAAAGAATTTCTAGACTGACTTTCTGTTCCTATTTACAAGGATCATAAAAAAAGTTTTATTTTTTAAAAGTCCAACTAGAAATGTCTCCTGCTTCCACTTTTATATTTCCTGTGGTGACACAGTATCCATTAAAAATGAGATATGTAGGTGAAAAGATGTAGTAGATACAGTGTCCTCCAGCAGTATTTCACAAGCTTTCCACATACAAGATCTGTAACAGCAGACACTGCTGAACTGTAGATGTGTTATTTTCCATGAAGTATATGAATATCACTTAAAAGTTAGTAGTAAAGAACCCATCTTAAGTTTATTTTTACCTTAATTTAAAACCACCCTGATCGCCTGTGTATCTACTGTAGTTGTACAAGCAGTAGAAATGGTATAAGGATTGAAAAGTTAGTGTTTAAACATTAGAAGTGCCTAAAAGGAAACTAATAGATACATGACATGCAGAATATGGTGGAAGACCAAGCCAAGGTTTCTTTTCATGTCATTTGTGTAAGTTGTATGGTTTTATGCTAAAGTTGGTACCTCACGTTTTTCTTCATTTGTTTATTCCTTAGTTGCTCCATCTCATCCCATGTTATGCAAGATACTCCTTGCACATGATGTTCCCATGCAAAGGGGCAATTTGTGTCTGTGTGTTTCAATTTCTGTTCTTGAGGCCTTAAACAAGTTCTAATATAGTGTTACTTAAGAAGTTTTACCTTCATTTTATAAAATGAACAATAGTTTCTCTGTTCAGTTCTACTTTCATTATTGCAAATTACCAGGTTTGTATTTCTCACAATGTATTAAGCAGAGATTCTCATTAGCTGTGATATCACTTGATTTTTTTACACAAAATTCTTTTAAAATCTGTCAGAACTTGGACTTGGCTTCATCCTCGGATTTTAAAACTCTGATAGTGACATATCATGAAAATACGAAAATGTGTTGTCTGCTCTCTGTTGTTGCTTAATTCACTTGAGGAGTACTTTGTTTAGAAAGCATTGAATATGTATTTTATGTAACCTTTTCTATTAGGTCATTCAAGATCCTGTTTTGCACCTTTACAGGAGGCAGGTGAGCAGCTAAGCTGCAGAATTGCATGATTAGACAACAGGAAGCTTAAATACACCCAAAACCTCTGCCAATGTTTTGTTCAGTGTGCAGGCTGCTTTGTGTCACCTGCCAATGTAAGGGCAATGAGCTATGGACAAGTTTCCAGGGACATTTTTACATTTATGTATGTTAGGTCTTCTCTTTATGTCTAAAAAAACTAAACAAACTATGGCCTTTCCAAAGATACGAGTCCAGATGTGAGGTAGTAAGATACAATACTTATTTTATCTTACACCTTATTTTACAAAATATTATCAGGGCTCAGTGTTGGGACCATTTCTGTTTAACATCTTTATTGATGATCTTGATAAGGACATTGACTGTATTATCAGGAAGTTTGCAGGTCACACCAAGCTAGGCGGGAGTGTTGATCTGCATGAGGATAGGGAGGCTCTGCAGAGAGACTTGGATAGATTGGATCCTTGGGCTAATGTTAATGGTTGATCTGCATGAGGATAGGGAGGCTCTGCAGAGAGACTTGGATAGATTGGATCCTTGGGCTAATGTTAATGGTCTGGGCTTCAAAAAGGCCAAGTGCCGGGTCCTGCACTTGGGCCACAACAACCCCAGGCAACGCTCCAGGCTTGCGGAGTGTGGCTGGAAAGTGTCTGACAGAAAAGGACTTGGGGGTTCTAATTGACAAGTGGCTGAATATGAGCCAGCAGTGTGCCCAGGTGGCCAAGAAAGCCAATGGCATCCTGGCTTGAATTAGAAATAGTGTGGCCAGCAGAAGTAAAGAGGTGATTGTCCCTCCGTACTCAGCACTGGTGAGGCCAGAGAATAAATCTTATGAAGAATGCTTGAAGGAGCAGGGAATGTTTAGTTTGAGGAAGAGGAGGCTGAGGGGAGACCTCTTCAATCTCTACAACTACCTGAGAGATCACTGTAGAGAGGTTAGTGCTGGTCTCTTCTCACAGGTAATTAGCGACAGAACAAGAGGGAAGGGCTTCAAGCTGCAACAGGGGAGGTTTAGACTGGACATTAGGAACACTTTTTCACAGAGTGAGTGGTTAGACACTGGAATAGGCTGCCCAGGGTGGTGGTTGAGTCCCCATCCCTGTATGTAAGAGTTGTTTGGATGTGGTGTTGGAAGATATGGTTTAGGCAAGAACTTTGTAGAGTAGGGATGATGGTTGGACTCGGTGATCCCAGGGGTCTTTTCCAACCTGAATAGTTCTATGACTCTATAAATTTTTTTTAAAACCTAGCTTTTATCTTTGGCTACTTGAGTAGTGCCAGCAACAGTCTGTAACCTGGGACTGAAATGCAGTTCCAGCCTTTGGTTCTGCTTTGTGTGCAAGGCTCACAATTACGATTCTGATACTCCTGTGTATTGATAAAATATTTGGGAGGATCCTGGAGGACTTTAGAAGGTTTTGGGATAGACAGGCATGGTTGAGATAGACACATTTTGGTTGCAGCCTTATGCATTTCACAGTGTTAAAAAAAAAAAAAAGTGTATGTTGAAGGAGTAATTTTTCTAGTGTAGTCAAAAATCATACTTATAGCATGTGGTGTGCTGCTTTTACCACTAGGCTGCCTCTCCAGGCTATCAGTTATGTGGGTGTATCACAACATTCAGGACCAGTTCTCCACAAAGAATGCATATCAATCAAGCAAGTGTTCACAGCAGTTTTCTAGTTTGCTGCCTGAGACCATCATGTAGTTAAGCCCTCCTGGTTTGTGTGTACTAAATGCCATTAACCCCAAATTTTAAATTATTAATGCTTGAGATACATTTGAAATAATTTTGGCATTATCTGGATTTATAATCTCACTACCGTACTCACTTGAAAAAATGTCTTGTGCTAAAGTCTAATTTATGGTTCTAGTAAAATATTATTCACCAGTGCTTATGCCACAGGAACACTGAATTCTTGCATTGCCATGAATTTATTTTTGGTATTACAGAGCAAAAATATAAATGTCATTTTATGTGCTGCAGACAGATTTATGGGAAGAGAAATGGGTTGCTTTATTTCAGACTAAATAGAAATGCTTTGTAGTTTCTGAGAAGGTTCTCTCTGATCTGTTAGTATCCAGCACCCAATGCTAACTTCTAGTATTTTCTGTCCATTCAATCTACTGAGGTTTTTTTTCATGAGAAACACATGCTGTCATAAAAGCTCTATTTTTTTCCTCTTTCCTATTGAAGATAAAATCTCAAGAAGTTTAGAATTAGTTTAATTGTATGACTCCAGCTGGAGATAGTGCTTCAGGTGTAGAGATGATTTTGAGGCCTGGACCTCAAATGGTCAAAGGGATGTTTTGTAGCATGTGCTAAGGTCTAAAGATGCACTCATAAAGTAAATTAAAATCTTCTGTTAAATAATGGGCTAAGCAAGTGCGTATGTGCCCTAGGGGTGGAGAGAAGGTGCCATCTCTTTGCAAATGGCATATTCAGCCAAATGGTGCAAGGCTTAAGAGAAATATAAGCAGATTAAAAAATGATAGGTTTAAAAACTCTCACGTGCCTGCAACAGTACAGTTGCAGTCCTACAACCTGCAAACAGATGAACAGTAATTTCAACCATGTAATGTCAACAAAATGCTTTGCAGAATAAGTTAAAAGCAATGGCTTCCAAAGGATCAGCAAGTGTAATCACAGAAGACATGCTAAAAGGCCAGGACTCTTTGGCAACAGACACGGGACAGCCTGTTCAGTCTGAAGAAACCCCCAGTGCTGCTGGAGCAGAGCAAATGGAGAAGGAAGATGACCTCCCGCAGCAGGCAGATGATCTCTCTTTCAGTCTGGATGAACTAAATGTCACATCATCACCTGAGTCCTCCACTGTTGGTCCAAATCAAGACTATAATTTAGTGAATTCTCTACTAAACCTCACTAAAAGTCCTGTGAGTTGTTGGTTTTTTCTTCTGTTTAATTTGATAAAATGAAAATGAAATGCTGTGCAAGTGGGCAGAGGGAGTGAACACACATGTATATACACACTGTATTTTAACTATACAAATATGAGGTTTGTTTTGCAGGCAGTTTTTGTAAATTGGCAGTTTTCTTTGCCATTTCAGATTAAAGTAAAAATACTATTTTAGAATATTGTTTTTGTTGATGATAACATACGTGTTTTTTGAGCAATTTGTATAGGATAGGCCTGTTTCACAGACAAGATACGTAGGATAATCATTAGGTTGAATATACCACAAAAGAATATTTTAAAAACTGCTTTCAACTGTATTGACTTAACCAAGCCCATTTTTTTTGTAAAAGGCAGTGGGCTATCTCTAGGGGTTTGCTTTCTTTTAAAAACAACCTCTGTAAATCATAACTAGCTCCATCTTCTAATTCATACTCAGATTCTTTCAGAAAACTTGTAGGGGGAGTGGGTGAACCTCTAATTGCTACAGCAGTGTTGAGAGCAGAAAACTCAATCTCCCAATGTACCTTGTTATTACTAAGTGATAGTTTCCATTATCTGCTCTCTCAGTCTTAAGCAGACCTACAACACTAGTTCTGTCAACCTGAGGGTTGCAGTTGCTTCTTAGTATTTGACATGGATTCAGGTGAGATTCTTTATTTTGTACTATCCAGGTTCAGTAGAAATAAATTGTAATCATTGGAAAGTAAACAATGCATTTACACACTGTGGGGGAATGGAGAGGTTTTATTTGGGAGATGTTTACTTCTTGATTTCAAGTGAGCTTCATTCAGCCTCTGATTAATTCTTCCCTGCCCTTCTGCCAGGATGGCCGGATTGCAGTGAAGGCCTGTGAAGGCCTCATGCTCTTGGTGAGTTTGCCAGAACCAGCAGCTGCCAAGTGCCTGTCTCAGAGCACTTGTTTATGTGAACTGTTGACAGACAGGCTGGCCACCCTCTACAAAGCCTTGCCTCAGTCACTGGATCCTTTAGACATTGAAACAGTGGAGGCAATTAACTGGGGGTAAGAATTTTATTTTTATATTTAATACCTAAGGTGACTTTACACTCCTCCCTGAAACTAATTTTCTATAGGTAGATAAGATGTATAAAATAATCAACCCCCCATGCTAAGGTCTTAGGAGCAGAGCTGAGATCCCAACTGCAGCACCGTGGTGCAACTTTGCGTGTCCAGTGTACGTGTGATATCTGACATCAGGCCATGTTTGGCTGCTAGTCCCTTGCAGAGATTCCTCAGGGGGCAAGTTTTTCCACTGAATTACATGGGTGATTTGTGGTGGTGTAGCTGCAGTATCATGTACAAATTATTTACTTGTTAACACGTTAAGGATTTAGGAAACAAAATTTTCACTGCATCTTTGGTAAAAGGCTGTTGCTGCAAAATGTTTGCAGTAAAAAGGAGAAGGAAAGAGTTATGGCATAACTCATTAGCAGGAAGTAAAAGATACATGCTGTTTATCCTAGCTGCTTGCATGTTAGATTCTCAAAACATTTCTTTTCCCCACTCTGCCTTCAGTATTATCCATTGCTCGTGATCTGTTAGTACCAAGACAAAAAGTAGGTATACGCAAAATAACTACCAACATTTCTGGTCGTTGGAATTTGAATTTAGAAGGGAAAAACCCACAGCTTTGAATAGCAGATTAAATAATCATTGGATTGGTCTACCAAGAAAAATGGTGGATATGTTATTCCACTGAGCCTTTAAGTTGGGATATTTTTTTTCCTGAAAGATACAATCTAGTTCAGGTATACAGTGTGGTTGTGTGGACTTGATTGAGGTCACTTACAGAGCAGAGAAGAACAATTCCCTTCATTTTATGGTTCTCTGACTACAGGAATTATTGATTCTGTTTCTGTGGTCTGTGTTTCCTAGGAGAACAGGCTAGGTGATCAGTTTTCCATTCTGACTCAAGAAACAGTTAACCAGAGTTGTTCTGCTGTACATACTATGAACCCTTTAGCATCCCACTGAAAACCTGCGTGATAAAAGCACTGCCAGATGAGTAGAGACCAGCAGAAAAGCTATTTTATTGTTCACTTCATTGCAAGTAGATCATTAATTATTCTTTTAAGTTCAGTAAGAATGAAGTCCAAGATTCTTTAATTACTTGTAGACTAAAGTATTTTTCCCTCTGTTCTCTAGTTTGGATTCCTATAGCCACAAAGAAGATGCATCTGCTTTTCCAGGGAAAAGAGCGTTGATTTCTTTTCTCTCATGGTTTGACTACTGCGATCAACTCATCAAAGAAGCACAAAAGGTTTGAAATGTTTACAGATGATACAAATATGTTTAGCAAACAAATGTTTCCAGTTGTTTCTTAGCTTTTGAGTTTGAGGCATACATTTTGTACTTTGGTTTCAGACTACTGCTGTTGCTATGGCAAAAGCTGTGCGGGAACGATTTTTCATTGATGTTATGGAACCCCAGCTGATGCAAACGTGAGTAGCATCCTCCAAGGCACAGTACAACAGCCTCTGAATCAAGCTGGGTTCGTTGTTTTTTTTTCAGCTGAAATCCACTACGTATCTGACATGGAATTTTTTGTTCAGTTCAGAGATCGGAATCCTGACATCAACTGCACTGTTGCATCGCATCGTGCGCCAAGTGACTTCAGATGTCCTGCTTCAGGAAGTAGTTTATTTTATCCTGGGTGAGCATAGAGAGCCAGAGACTTTGGCAGACATCAACAGACACCCGTTGCGACACAGGTTGATCGAACACTGTGATCACATTTGTGATGAGGTGAGGAGTGGTAATAATATAAAAATGTCTGCTGGCCAGTTCTTTCTTGTGTGGAGTCTGTAAAAACACTATAGTGAGGAGTTTCGTATTTGTGCCAGCTAACTTTTTTTGCTAAGGAGGAGGGTTCTAACTGTCAACCCTACAAATTCCCTTCAGAAAATGAAATTCAAGATGTTTTTTCCAGCTAGGACATTGTTCCTGTTAATAAAGATTCTTTGCTAATTTTGCTTGCCCCCTGTGCTTGCTCGCTTGTAAGGTAGGGCAAAAATCTGTTTCTGTAGCTGTGTTTCAATTCATGCTTTAGTCTGCATTACTGTTATTTTCCATGTTGTGTCAATTCTGTCATTTTTCAAATATAAAACATGCTGGCTTGAAATACAGATCTGTGCCTTCATATATCCATTTTTTCCAGTATGCTTACCTGTTCCCCCATCAAAATCAGTTATCTGTATAAATTAGTTGGTTTTTGCAAAGGTAAGCACTCTAAAGCTGTCTTGAAAAACTGTCTCTGTATTGCTTAAAGTCAGTCTCATTTTAAAAGCTTGTGTAATATCTCAATGTGAAAGTCTTCTCCTATAGATCTAGTCACAATATCCCAGGGTTACTTTGTTCTTTTCTGCATATTGATTACTAACTCAGTCCTGTTCTGTGTCTCACTTGCACAATTCCATCTTCCTGCATGGATCTGATTATAATATGGAAAGCTAAGCTCCAAGTTCTCTGGATGTTCTTTATATTGTTATTTTGGCAGATTTTAGAGCAATTTTTGTTTTACAGGAAAAAAATAGTCCACTTACTGATTTTAAAATATGCATGAACTCTTCATCCATGCTTGTACCACATTCAGCCTAACAATTTTATAATTTTTCTTAGTATTTTTGCTTCTTTCCCT